GAGATCTAAAATGTGAAGAACACAACCCCCGAGGTGCAAAATGACCCCAGGGTGTACGGAGAGGGTTAATAAGAGGCAAGTAAAAACAACCCAGACAACAAAAATCTTCCTTCACAAAATGTAATTTTTCACCTCATTAAAACAACAAAAGATTAAATTTGCTGTGGAAAATTATTTTTTTTATGAAACTCAAAAAATTGAGTATACCACAAACATCACCACCAGCGACCAACGATCTGGTCTTTCCCCGTGAACATAGACACACAAATGACCCCAACAGAGGGAAAGTAAAGTAAAGAAGCAGGACCTACTATTGGCACCCTCCAACCACCCGTGAAAACCGTGTACACAAAAGACTTGTTGTTGCATATTCACGAAAATCTCAACAACACCACAGAACAAAAAAGAGCCGACAAAACCAAACCAAGGCCATAGTGACCTACAAAGACAAGGACCAACAGGAGTCACCCCCCCACCCTCCCCCCATGACAACACAGCTGACGTTATGTACAGGTCAAACGATGAAAAAAAAACCCCACCAGTCAAGTGGTCAGAAACCAATACAGCTGTAAAAGCAAATTTACGGAAAAATATAATTAATATACAACAAGACAAAAATGTGTTGATCATCATGAACAAGTATAAATGAATGTACAAAAATAACGTTTCAAAAAACCAAATTTCTAAGAAGCTGCAGACCAACAAAAAAAAAAAAAAAAAAAAGGAAAGAAGAAATCAGAAAAATGAAGAGGAGCGTAAGAATATTATTATAACCATTTGATCTCCCCTCTCCCTTAATGTTATGTATAAGCCGTTGCACCATGACTTCTTATCATACAATAGGTTAGTAAGGAAAAAACGCACACATTTTAAAAATTGTTGGGTAGCAGCGGCATGGGAAAAAACAGATTATAAAAAAAACAACCTTTTTGCTCAAACTGTTGGAGTCAACAGCGCTGAAAACAAATCCGTCAAAAGATAAGATAGGACTTCCATCTACAGAATATAAGATAGGACTTCCCTCCAACGGGAAGTACTTCTAAGCCGTGGGACGGGGGAAGTTACTGCCAGTTAAGTTTGTTTAGTGTCCGCAAAGCTTAAGATGACGATGTCGGAGGAGAAAAAAAAAAAGAGATCGGCGGATCCATTCATTAATCCATTGTCACACGGACATCACTGTTCTACGCGTATTTTTTCCCATTGTAGCCGAATCAACGTTGGCAGAAGGGCGTGAAATTAACGCATCTGTGTGTGCGTGCATGTGCGTCAAAACAAGGGGAGTGGGCTTGAAAAATGAGACACATAAAAAAGAGAGAGAAAGAAAGGGGAAAATGAGATAGAAAGGAGACACGGCAAAGGAGGAATGAGATGATAAGGAGAGGAAAGAGGAAATACAGAAAAGCGTGCCACATTCTCTACACTTATCGTCCAGCGTTAACGAAAAACAAAGTCGCACCAACAACACCGGAGCCTAGAGACAGGTCACAAATGACTGTGTGAGACGGAGGAGAGGCTACACTACGCGTCGGGTTGTTGCTATATTGATCCAGACACCCAGAGATCTGGCTGGACACATCCACTTAACTGACAGTAACAACCGTGTCAACCGCAGGTCCTCTACCCATGAGAAATAAACAGTACGGCTAAGCCTAATGCACAGTCTATCATACATTTAAAAAAATAACCCTAAACTTATTCAAATACGCTCAAACTATCTCTCAAGAAAATACACCACATCACATCAAAGTCCATCCTTATTATCATTCTCATAATTTCTTCTGCTGTCAGGACAACTTTGACAATAATCGTACATTAGACAGAAAAAAAAAACTTTGTCCGAAAAAAGAAAAGTTTGTAAGTATGTCTCCGTTAGAACTACATGAATCATCAATCATATATCAATAACAATAATAAAGAACATTGGGCTGGCAATCCATTATAATAATATATAATAACAAGACAGTAATATATGATGAGAAAATGGAAAACGAAATATTTACAAGGAGTCCAAAAACAAATTTGAAAAAATTGGAGAGAACAATAACCGTAGTACACAAAATACAACTCCGCTTGATCAAAGCAATCGATATATAAAATGAGATTCCCAAATGATTTAGATGTTATTTTTATGTATACAGCATATATATATACTCATTACAATACATGAATATTCAAATATTGTTTCCAAACATACGAAGGACCACAGAAACGTCGGCGGTGTAGACACTAATGATGCGAAGTACGTACATACAAATAGATAGATACACATACAAACGAACACCTGATCATGTGCATATAATATGTGTATATTATATATATATATATCATAAAAAAGTAAAAACAACGTTTAATCATCATAAGTATTCAAGTATTTGCTTCACAATGATAGTCCAATCAATGTCATGATAACATTACAACTCAATTCCAACATGTGCGGGGGCCGGAGAAAACTAGGCAAACGTTGCTGATCGTCAAATTTAACAAGAAGAGCTGAAAAACTAAAACAAATAACATAATTAGACTTTTTGCAGTTCTTGATTCTAATGATTCGTTTTCAACTGATTCTTTAGCTATCAAGCACCCCCCATTTTAAATGGACATAACAAAAGATCTAAACATAATATTCTAAATTGTCTTTTTCATGTAGTGAAAGGCGCATAACTCCACAAAAAGTGCTTCCTCCCCCCCTCCAATTTTATTATCTTTATCTTTAAAAAAAATAATTAAATGTCTATCACAAATCTGGCAAGGGGCTGTTGCATTTGTCACCTCTCTTCTACGTAAATAATGCAGTACCCTCATACTCATACTATTTGGTGATCTACAATCTACGGAAAGCTCAATTTCTTTTTTGTTGGAAATCTTTGAAATTTCAACCATGCACAATGTATAGAACTGGATGAACTATAACAGTTATAATAACATGGTTGTCTTAGTACTCTTAAACTAGTTTAAATTTAAAATACTTGAAAACAGTAATGAGCCTCGTTTTGTCTGGCACCCACATACTTGGGTATCTACCGAAAATGTTTTTAAAAGAATAAAGGAGGGAAAAAAAAGCAGCACACATGATATATATTTACAAATGATAGCAAAAAAACAAACCCATTGAAAAATGTCAAAATCATCTTCAAGATCATGAATTAATGTATAATGAAGGTAGCTGGAGCTTAAGTGAATACAGTACAAGAAATGACACAACAATGTAAACACAACATTTCAACAAGCAGCACACACTGCCACACACACACACAACCAAGCTAGGTAGTCGCACGAGCCCTGAGCCACTACTAGACTAGATGGATATTTCCCATATCCTGATAGTCCTTTGTTTTAGTTTTAGTAGAGGTTTTACCTTGCTCGCAACAGCATTAAGGTCATATGAGCGCCAGAAGATTAGAGGTGTTACAAGAGAGTAACAAACATGAAAAAGAAGAAGGGGAGAAAAGGACGATAGATGTTTGATAGGAAAGAAGTAGCAAACCACACCAGAGCACCCGCCAACCACCCACTCCCATATCTTGATAGTCCTTCCTAGTGCAACCCCCAGAAGGAAATCATACTGAGCCAGACCATGCTTGCTTGTTACTTATGTCACTTGTGTGAAAGACCGACATCATTGCACAAGGGATATTCTCATTTTTAAAGCGCTCTGTTCCCTGAAGAAGCACATCTCAAAATGTGTAGATGCTGACGGTTCCAAGCAATGGTAAGCTTTTTTTATAGCACAAACAACCAGAAAATGTCAACACCAGTCCTCAAGACCGCGAGGCGCCACAACCAACATTCATTATAACCTTATATAATCTGAACATTGACAAAATCGCTACCCTACAATTGCACAGTTCTATCTGCCCAGTACATGGTTCGTTTAGTAGAGGTCTTATGGGACTCGCAGTTCTGCACAAGGTCATATGAGCGCAGTACCTAGTTTTGAGAAATTAAAAATAAAAAATTTTGAGAGTCACAATCAACCATCCCTTCGGCACAGAGCACTGACAATACATTTCCAGCGGCTCGAGCAAGGTGCCACTCTCAAGTGACAAGTACTCTAGCGAGCTCCACACCAGTAGCACATCTTCACTTCAAACCTTAATCTAAACTTGAATAAAAATTTCCCTTTCTGTTTTTTTTTGGTTTTTTTGTGGGGGGAATGCACAGGCACATTGACCACACTTGCTCACTGCCCCAGTTTCTCACTGAAGGCTTCAAAGTTTCACAGGACGCTCCCATCAACCACTGGGTGCCAATGAGCTAATAATACACAATAAAAAATACAACCATTAAAACCCCCCCCCACCATTTTCACCAACCATTCCACACAACCATAAGAACATGAGAGAGAGAGAGAGAGAGAGAGAGAGAGAGAGAGACAGAGAGAGAGAGAGAAGGGGAGAGGGAGAGGGACAGGGAGAGGGACAGGGACAGGGAGAGGGAGAGAGAGAGAAAGAGAGAGAGAGAGAGAGTCTGTCAATCCGTACGTTACGCTTAATCTGAGGTCATCATTACATCATACAATAAATGCAGTCTAAGGGAGACAACCAGTGATGTGGAAAGTGCTGCCCAGGAACCAACGAGCTCCGCCACGCCCCGCCCCGCCCCGAAGCGGCAGACAGCATTCCTCTCTAGGCGACAGACGTTCCGCCCATTTCGACGAGCATTAAACAGCAGTGTCCTAAGGATGGCACAGGTATATATATCCACTGTGTAGTTCTTTGTGTTGCAACAATTTTGTGGGGAATATACAGACACTTGCACGAAATACACAAACGTGCATACGTGCAACCCAACAGGCATGACTGAAACAAAGTGTAGACACCCCCCCATTTTACACCCAACCAGTCACACATGCCACAAGCATTGAACAAAACATTTTCAAATAGTCACACAGGGGAGAGATAATTAGCATAATTTCAAAGTAATGTTCAAGGGAGGAAGAACACAAAGCAAAACAATCGAGAAAAATGTTTTTAAAAAAGCAACAAAATAAAAAAGCCAGATTCTTCTCCAAATTTGTAGTAATAAAATCAAAGCAGAAACAAACAAAACAAAACAATTAAAGCATTTCTTCCCAGCTGTCCCATCTCTCAGAGAGTATGAAAATAATCATTAAAAAAAAAAAAAAAGCAAAAGCAAAACGAAACTAAACCAAACCAAAAGCCAAGAGTCGGCCCTACTGGGACCAAGGCGTACCTCGTACAAACTGACATGATACACATTACTCATTTGGTACATCACTAACGACGAGAAGGTGTCGGCATTCGACGAAGAATGTGCCCTCTAGATCTCCACTTTAGTTCAAATGAGTCAGGGTCCAATCCACTGTCTTTTTCAAAGATTTCATTTCAATGAAAATGTCCACATCTTTATCTTAGTAGTGATATCTCTCGATATTCAACAAATATATATACAAGCATTTTATTGAAAATGGAAAATCTGCTCCGAAGTTACAGCTAAAAAAATCTTTTTTGCTACTCCAATTTGTGACAAAACGTGACTGTCAGATACTAAATTTTCAAATGCTGTCGCAAAAATTTTCACACAGGCAAACACTCACACCCAACCTACCGGACAAAAAACACAGGAGGTTCAATTAGTTTACAGTTTACTAACACGTTCTTAAGCCATTGTCAAGCACATTTTGAGTCTTGTCAAAAATCAGCTCTAAACAGGATACTTGATGGCTTCCGCCCCACGAACGATTTTCTTCACAGCCCACACCACACCGTCCTCTCACTTTTCTGTGGACCTTTTAGAGCTCTCCTCTTCTGTACAGACCATCCAGATTCAGGACTACCCAAGAGACGTTGTTCTTTCCGAAAACTTTCTAAAGACACTTTCCTAACGGAACATGATTTATTAAAAGTCCCGTCCGTCTCTAATTTCTTGCAGTCTCACCGTTCTCTTTGACAGCAAAAACTCTCCGCCTCCTCCTTGCTTGTCTGCCATCGGTACAGAATCAAACATCTCAACACTGGACACAAGACGACGGTCACCTGTACAGAACTACATTTTAAGCTCTCTGAAGTAACGCCAAGTACAGCTCAAAAAGACTGCAAACAGAAGTAACTAATATATCTCCCTGTACAACATCTCAGGGGGTGTCTACAACTTAAAAGTCAATGATAAAGTCCCGATCATCCACATCAAGCATTTCAGATTTCCAAAAACAAACCACCACACTGACAAAGCCCTCATGTGTTACCCCGAGAATGTTTTTAAAAAAAGGTCAACCCCTCTACAAAACCATCCAGCTGTCAAATTATCAGTATGATATATAACATTTCTTTTAAATTGGAACCCACAACCAGAACTGTGTTGGAGTTTGGGGAATAGAGATGGTAAAAGTAAATTCATAAGATGCTTCAAAATATCCAAGGCAAAGCAACAGAACAACCACATCACGACTCCACTGACTGTCGTCATAGCCACACGGCAATGCTGCATCATCGACGGGAACATGGGCTCTCTGAAAGGGCCAGCAAACACAACCAGATGGTTCCTTTCACACTCTACAACACAACGCGACGACTGCAAGCACGGCAGCGGTCGGGCAGACAGCAAATGAGATTCAGCAACTGAGTGATCCCTGTATGGTATCTAAAGCGACTGCCAGCTCATCCACATACACACGGATGTCACAACAATGGAGCCACCGCTAGCTCATCCAACACAGATGTCGCAATAGCAGTACATCGTACAGGACTCTTCCAGTGTCTGACTACCCAGCACTTTCACTCACACTCACACAAACACACAATACGCAAATCTATAGTATAGTATATGTACACACACTTTCATACACAAAGTTCATGTGAAGGTTCCTTTAAAACTCTCCCCACCACCATCCACACAGTAGACACTCACTAAACTAACATACTCGCTGCCACAAGTAGGCACTCCGCAAGGAGTCGCCAGGACACGGCTTGACAGCCATGACCGGGTCAGAGGTCGCCTTGAGGCGACGGAGCGAGGACCTCTGGGAAGCTCTACACAAAAACCTGACAGACAGTTGTTCTCCAGTGAGTAGTCTGCTACGCTGATCTAGTGAAGATTCCGAGCCACACCAAAGAATGGCGGAACAGCCCGTTCTTCATTCGTATTCCTTCCCCTACAGCCTAGTGCAAACTCCACTGGACAACCTCGGTGACTATGGATCACGTAATCCTCCAATGTCCCGCTAACTATCACGCCAAAACATGTCAGCTGGGACATTTCAGCGACCCATGATTAGTAGCACTGTTCAAGGACCAGACACCCAAGCGAGAACTGTCGAGTTCCTGCGTGCTATCGGAATGGCCGACCACTTACGATGTCACAGTGGCAGAAGGAAGAGAGAGAGCGAGTGTACCTCGGCGAGAACGGAAGGCTGGGGTGGGCGAGAGCTCAGAGAGAGCGATTTCTCCGGAAGTAACTTTGTCCCGTCCCTCAGTACTGCAGGTTGTTGTTGCTGCTGCCGTGCTGGTGGGGGTTCAGAGGCATGGGGCTGACGCTCTGCGCGGCATGTAGCTCCATCCGGCTGAGCGTGTCGCTGACCGCCTGCTGGTAGACGCTGTGGTTCCCTGAGCTGAACTGCAGGCTGCCGACGGTGTGCGGGAGGGTGTAGGCCGGGGGGTCACTCAGAGAGCCGCGGCCGTTGCCCTGTAGCTCGGCGGTCATCGCCCGCTCCATGGCCGCCCGGCTGCTGCTGGACAAGTCCATGTTGAGTGGCCCGCGACCACCGCCGGCCGCCATCTCCATGTTGAGCGGGCCTCGCCCGCCTCCCTGAAGGCCATGGGCAAAATTGGTGGGCTCCCCGCGGATGTTGGCCGGGCTGACGGTATTGCGGTCGCCGCCGCCGCGCTGCTGGGCGAAGGACCCTGCGCCATGCGGGTTGAAGGCAGAGTTGTCGTGCGGGAGTGGGCTCGACTGGTTCAGGATCCCGCGGCTCCCCGGCCGGTCCAGGTTGCTCATCAGCGGATGAGGGCTCTGAATCCGGGACTGGTGGATGGAAAAGCGATCACCGTTCCCCTGCTGCTGACTCAACGAGTAGCCTTGACCCTCTCGTTGACCCATCTCGCTGAAGCTCCCGCGTCCGGAGGACAGCTCCATACCGCGGAGGTTCGGGTTCTGCAGGGGCGGGTTTGGCGTGTTGAACCGTTGATCCCCGCCGCTGGTCTGACCCATGGCCTGCGCGTTAAAGTCTCCGACCGACCTGCCCTGTGAGGCTCCGTGACGTCCCAGGCTCTCGCTTCCCTGGCCTAGAATACGGCTGTGCTGATTGACCACCTCGATGACCGTCTGGTTGGGCAGCAGGTTCTGCTGCTGCTGCTGCTGCAGTCTGGCGGCGTTCTGGCTGCGAGAACTCTGGCCCTCCCCGCTGTGCCCGTGCACCATGTTCTGCTGGCTGTAGCTCGGCTCGCCCACACCTTTCTGCACAGAGTTGTTCATGTCCTTGGACATGGCCTCGTCCCTCGTCAGATCCAGCGTGCCGCGGTCGCCCTGCGGCGTGAGACCTCGCTCAAATTTCTCCCCCGGCTCCGAGCTCTCAGAGGAGATGGACTCTCGACTGTGCGCGGGCGAGTTCTTGTCACTGCCCCCGCCCGGAGACTTGTTGCTGCCGGTGTTGTTGTGAGCGACGGTGCCCACGGCCTTGAAGCCCGAGTAGCTCTCCCCCGAGGCCGCTCCCCCCTTCGCCCGGTTCTCCAGCTCCTTGGTGTGTAGCTTGATGTGCCGCTGTAGACTGTACAAGCGCGGGAAGCCGCGGCCGCAAACAGGACACTTGAAGGGGCGCTCGGCGCCGTGCACCGTGCGCACGTGCAGAGACAGATTGGTGAACCGGCGGAATGCCTTCCCGCACACGTGACAGGCGTGGGGTCGCTCCCCCGTGTGGATAAGCATGTGGCGCGTCAGGTGGTGCTGGCGTGTAAATCCCATCTTGCACACGCCACAGGCGTAGGGGCGCCGCGTCCAGTCCAGGAGATGAGCCCGGGGTATAGGCCCGCGGGTGTGTAGCTTGACGTGGCGCTGCATATGATACTTGCGGGTGAATCCCTTCCCGCACAACTCGCAGTGGTAGAGGCCGTCCTCCCCGGCCCCCGCTCCTGGGCTGCTAGCCCCGGGTTCCAAGTATCGGGGGTTAGGGATCTTGATGTCAAAGTACTTCTTCATTTCCAGGTCCGAGATAGGAGCCGGCCCGGAGCCATTCCCCTCACCGGAGGTGCCAGAAGAGTTGAGGTGGGCACTTTCCGGGGGGAAGGAAACCCCCAGCTGCCCCGCCGAGAGGCCTACGTTGAGCCCACCGGAGCCTAGACTGATGGGATTGTTCACTGAGCCCAGAGATCCAGGGGCGACAGACGAGGCAACCGACAAGTTGTTCAGAGCGTCGAAAGGAGTCACGCCGCTAGCGCCAACGGCCGATCCAGAACTCCCTGCTGCACCGCCACTGCAGGACGGCATGTCGTCAATCTCCGGCTTGATCGTGATGTTGGGGTCCATCAGGGGGAGAGAACCATCCGCATTCCTTTTCAGAGCTTGATCTAAGGCTTTGTGGCCCGACGCGGGAAAATTGAATATCCCCGACAGCTGCAGCGATGAGTCCTTTGTGGAAGAACCTGGTTGTTTGGGCGGAGTAAAATCCTCAGGAATGAGTTCGGAGACGTCGATCGCGTTGCTCTTGTCGTCCTGGCTGTCGGAGGCAACGCTGTCGTTGAGCTTGTTGAGGGAGTGCGACTTCATGTGGTAGTTGAGGTGGCAGCACTGAGAGAAGGCCAGCATGCACAGGTTGCAGACAAACGGCAGCGTGGAGCCGTACTCGCGGCGGTGCTGCTCGAAAGAGACCTCGCTGTTGAAGGTGCCCCCGCACACGTCGCAGTGGTGGGCGTCGATGCGGCGGTGGCCGGCGGCCATGTGCTTTGCCAGGCCGTCCGAGCGGGAGAAGGCCATGTTGCACTTGGTGCACGAGTACGGCTTCACGTTGGTGTGCGTTAGCATGTGCCGGTTTAGCGTGTACTTCTCTGCGAAACCGCGGCCGCACACGTCACAAATGTTGGTCTTGTCCTTCTTCTTGTGGTGGCTCTTCTTTTTCGGCTTCGGGGTCAGCCCATCCACGCCCTCCGCGCCAGGAACCAAACCCTGCGGGGTGGGACCGGCAGTCGGTGTGTTCAGGGGATGCTGCTGCTGCTGCTGTTGTTGTTGCTGTTGCTGCTGGGGGTGGTGGTGATGATGATGGTGGTGCGACGACTTCTTCTTCGAGCCACTGGGCTTCGGGGCGGAAGCGGGAGCGCTCAACGCCGGGCTGGCGAATGCGCTGTGGTTCGAGCCTTGTGAGAACGCGTTGCCCGTGGTCCCTGCGGCGGCTGACGAGGCAGCTGCTGCGGCGGCGGCTGCCATGGGGTTCGGGTAGCTGTTGGCCAGGTTTGTGTTGGGGAAGACGGGCGGGTTGCTGGAGCTACTGTGGGCCAGGCTCGGGGTCCCGCCCTTGTCCTCGCCCAGGATCAGTTTGGAGTAGATGTAGTCGTGGAACGACTCCCGGCTCTCGTGGAAGTTGCTGGAGGCCAGCTCCTGGGCCAGCGAGGGGATCATGCCACCGCTGCCCATGAAGGCTTGACCAAGGTTGGCTGCCATGTTCACACAGCAGCGACCTCACAAGGGGAGATGACCACTCTGAAAAAAGAAAACAGAAACCATGACAAGAGACAGAAAAGCGGCACTTTTCTCTGTTTATGTTGTTTTTGTTTTAGTAAGAGTTTTACACCACTTGCAACACAATAAGGTCATATAAGTCCCGAAGATTAGAAGTGTTACAAGAGAGTAACAAACATAACACAGGAAGAGGAGAGATCAGTCGATAGAGGTTTGATGTTGTTTTTGTTTCTTTTTTCTTAGATTTAGTAAAGAGTTTATAACACTTGAAACAACATGATAAGTCATATAATATAAATGCGGAAGTTTCAAGAGAGTAACAAAAGATGTAACAAGAGAGTAACAAACACAATAAAGTAGGAGAGATAAGGAAGATATATATGTTTGATGGGAAAGAATCAGCAAACCTCACCAGAGCATCCACCAACCATCCACTTGTTTATGTTTGAGGGCTGGGCTAATAAAATAGATTGTGAAGTGCATATAATATGTAGTAGCAATACCACAGATTTTTTAAAAATACAGTCGAACCTGCCCTGACGGCCACCTCTATAAGACGGCCACCTGTACAAACGGCCACTTTCCATTTCCCCCCCTTGCGTTTTTTCTATATAATTTAACTGTATAAAACGGGCACCTGTCCAACGCGGCCGCGGCCACAAAAATTTAACACACAACCCCTATAATACTAAGCAATAATACCTGTCTAAGACGGTCACCTTAGTGAATCCATTACGTTTTGTCATAAATTGTGCATTGGCCCCTGGCGTTGTGAGCGAGCCGTCATAATTCAATCACCTGTCGTTGTTAGGTAGTCCCTCCAACCGATCATGTTGCGTAGGCCCCTCCCACTGTTGACCAATAGCTACCAATTTTCAGCTGCAGGTGAGTTAGCGTGTGATCCCTCATAACCCATAAGCCCCGCCCAGAACTCATACACAAATCGTAAGTGAGATGAGTGGTTACCTAGACGTATAGGTGGTTACTGTTTACCCAGTCTGTAACAAAGTAACAAAGGACGTCAACATGAACTTGTTACAGAAGCGTCCCTCGTTCTCCGAGTGGTGGCGACCCATGTGTTTGTTTTAACATGGCACTCGGTCTTCCTTGTCTGATACATTTCGTTTTATTGTCACCATTGTGCTAAATCAGCGACAAAATAAAAATTACAAACGAAATACAAACCAACAGCAACAACACCAACAAAGACAACAACAATGGGGCTACTTTCGATTGGGGCCTCAGATGGGAATGGTTTGTTTTCTTTATCTTGATCAGTCCTGCCTAAGACGACCACCTGTCTTATGCGGCCACTTTTCTCCTTGACAATGGGTGGCCGTCTTACACTGGTTTGACTGTAGGTACTACTAACCTATAAACAACTCAGATACGTAAAGATCAGTATTTCACAAGCAAAATGCTTTTTACATTTTGAAAAATCAGTCCATAGATTTAAAAATCTACTTATCCTCGTAAGTAAACTTCACTCTGATTCTGCCAAAACACTGTCAATGCTTAGGGGAGTAACCTCATGTAAAACCAAAATTAAGTCCTATTATATGTGACGGAAAATTGATCTAAAATTTAATTATGCCTTAGTTCATGAGTGCACTGTTTTCTTTGGTATTAACGGACTCAATAAATAATAATTGTCCAATCAACCACTACACTTTATGCAGCCATGTCATCACAGCTAGCTGGAAACGAGTTTACCCTTTGCGGTGGAGTGGTCCTTTTTGACTTGCAGACGACACAAAAAACCGGGAATGATATGGACGTAACTTTTTTTCTATGTGAACTTTACGTGGAATTTCACCCCCCCCCCCCCCCCCTTTCACCCCCCACTGCAAATATACAAAAATAAAAATGTGTATTTTCACTTCATTCATATAAGGTAAGTTGCACAACTATTGCAGACAAGAACAATTAAAAATATATATAATATGTGTATTTTCATGTTAATTATGATAAGTCGCAAACGACCAACTTGAGACAGAATTCAAGAAAAACAAAATCTGATTTTACGCAAATCTGTCAGGGTTCTTCTACAGGCAAAAAATGTCAGAGAGCTCCGAATTCATCCGAGTAATCGGTACGTCTGAAATGTGATGATAAATCTCTCTTCTTATTGGCTGCCACATTTGAGGGCAATGAAAGTCCGCTATTTAAGTGGTTGCTTATGATGCTTTAAAGCACAAACTTAACCTCACCTCTATATCGTTTGTGCATTGCATTTAAGCAAAAAACAAATCGAGTATTCGCTGTAGTCCAAAACCTTCAAGTACTTGGGTAATAACTGAGAAAGGGCTTTTGTAATAGTAGAAAAACTCCATTTTCTTTTCTCACTATTAAGATCATGAGGTCAGTAAATTGTAATTACTTTTGTCTGCTTTTTTAAAAATCAACATTTCTTTTTCTGTGTGTGTATTACTGTTACTAACAATTTCATTATGAGCAGCATAATTAGCGATTCAAATGTACCAAGCAAGGATCACAAGATACAATGGTCTTAGGCACTTGGATAAAAATTTCAAAGCTTTCAAATTGCTTTAAAAACAATACCAATGCAAAGAGCTCAGTGACACGATTCCAACGCTACCTTAGTTATTGCTCTATGTTGAACCGTTTTTGAGATATTGCATTTTAAAGATCTTTTCGAGGGGATAACATCTATATAGAAAAAAAAGGCAATTTTTGTGATCGAAACAGCAAGGACAATAAGGGAAATGTAAGCTGCTTCAATATGCTGCTGCGTACATGCTAAAACCAAACATTTTCTGAAACCTTGTGATATTGAGGACAAAATAACAGTCAGACGATATTTTTAAAATATATCGTGGTGGGTAATATTGGGTAATATTATGTAACACTGTGTTGTGTAACGTGACCGCATCGTCCTGCGGTCAATATATTTTGCCATAACTTTCTTATAAATTAAGCTACATCAATAATTGAGGTATCATTTTGAAGGTCTTTTTAAGGCCTTTCTTTTGGAACATCTACATATCAAATATCAGTAGAATTAACAAAAAACTGATTAAAAAATATAGTATATTTTAACAAAACAGCTGGTCGCCTAAAATAAGATGAGCATAGCAGTTTTTAAAGTTAACATTTGTGTCTACAGCTGCTGCAAACTAGTGTTTTTTAGTCTACCTTAATTCATGATAATACTGTTTTTTAAATTCATTTTGCATGTTATTGTTAGAATGTTTCTTTCATGTTTTAATTTGTCATGTAAATGATCAATTACTCTGTCTTTATCTTTGATTTCTCTTTTACATCTTTAACTCATGAGATTGCCCTGTAAGTTAAACAATAGTCTCTTCTAATTTTATTACTTCAGTTTGTTCAGCAAGTTTTTCATTATATTTTTATTGTGTTTATTTAAATGTTCAACTTCTTCAAAGACAATTAGTTGTGAAATATGACATGTTTTTTGAAGCACGCAATTGTGTCACGATACTTATTTATTCTTTCTTTATTTCTGGCAATTGTTTAGTTCACCCAGTCTGCCAACTTGATATTGTTAAATTAATGTCAATTTTTTTTTCTTGTCTGCAACAAATGCTTTCTTAAGTGCTCAATTTTTTTGCAACTTGTTCAAACAAGTTTTTCTGTGAATTCGACCAACTCCGCAAGCATTTCTGGATTTTAATTAAAGTCAGGATTTATTCTGGTGAGCTGTCAATAAATCCAATGGAACAGTGGCAGGTTGTGATCAGGGGCTGTGGAAAGAAAAAAAAAAGCAAAGCAATGAATTCATCAATGAAGTAAATAAATTCATTTGTGAGCAGTGGATGGAAATTTGACATTTTCACACTACAACTCTAGTAAAGGGAGAGTGTAGATGACTAGACAAGAGAAAAAACATCTTCTAATAAACATGTATCTTAAAACAAACTGGACAAAGTACATGAAAATTTAAAGAGATATTTAAATAACAAGCACACACAAAAACAATTAAGAAGAAAAAATATTTAAAGACAATATAAGCACACAAAAGAAGTAAAAACTTGCGTGAAATCGATGGTCTAACAGTGACAGTAACACAGAAACAAAACAAGGCCAAGGCTGTTACATTTCCCTCCCCCCACCCAAGACTCCTTACTGATTGTTACATGGTGCAAATTCATAAAAATTATACAACAGTGATACATATTACATTCCAAAATTTAAAATGAATCATATCTTCTACTATAAAACATTCTTCAATGCCGTTTAAGAGGTAATAAACGCCAACAATACACGTTAGCGTGGGTTAAGTTCGCTTTCCGCAATGGCCGCCATGACCTCCCGGTTCACGCTCAGCAGCGCGATCGATAATAGGTCATGCCCATTCATGGAGAGTGACCTATTTAAATTAGGGCTCACACGCTTATGCCTCAACGTACAACATTGAAATTAACAAATAAAAGAGATAAAAGGTTGAAGAAAAGACTGTGAGGAGTACCTAAAAAAAAAAAGATATACTCTTTAAATATAAAGGCTTGAACTTACCTTATTTTTAACTCCTTGTAACTCCGAACACACACAACCGATCCCGAAGTGGAAAACGCCATAATACGCGCCTTTCTTTCCTCTTTAATTTGATAGGCGGAAGTAATCCATAAATTGAAAAGAACACTATAAACGAAACAAAACAAATAGGTACCCCCCTCACGGGGCCCGATTTCTGACACAAAACGCGGCGGCCGCAGGTGAACGAAAATCTCGGGCCGCGCGGGCCGATATCCAAGTGCCTACAATGGTAGATCTGTTCGGTATACAAAGCGAAACAAAATCTTCAGGAATTTTCAAAACAGTAGGGGACCCAAAAAGTTGTGAAGAAATAAGCTGTAACATAATGCAAACTGGTATATGGATGAGAGAACAAAAATGAAAATGCTACTCCAAAACAGTAACCAAGATAACCGGTACACAGGCATAAAAACATCAGTAGATAGGGCCTACACTACAGAAAAATTAAAACGGAAGAAAATGACAATCTGTAAATATCTCATGAGAAAAAATAAAACAAAAATAAAGAACACTGAACGCTATTATTAGCAGTGTTGGAAAGCAGTCTTTCTTCAAGCCTTGTAATTACTGTAAGATGTGTAGCCTGAACCCCAAAACATGATGAGATTTTAATTCCACTTCTTAAGCCCCTCTCTCATTCATCAAGGCTCAATTTATTCCTGTTTTATTTATGCCATGGGATCAAGATTGTATTGTCAAGGAATTCGTCTAGGAAGGTAAACAGTCAAAGAATTCATTATGAATTAAAAAACCACTCCCTTAACTCAGACATGAAGTTAAGTGTACAAGTATAAAACAAGCAACTTCTAAATTGAGGAAAATTCAAAGTCAAAGCACAGCCCACTCTGCCCAAGCCCAACCCCCTGCTGAGCAGGCCTTTCAAAATCTTTGTAAGGATCCTTCTGTACTGGAAAACAAAGTCTGATGGCGTTACTGAGGCACAGATTTAAAAATAGTTATCTCTAAATGCATGAAGAAGTACTAGATCTAGGTATAAAATATAAACAAAAAAGACAGATTTAGACGAACTAAAACATGTCAAATGTTATCTAAAAATCTAGGATTGGCCCTCCACTCAGCCTGACATGGACAAAATAATTCAGCGATAGTAGGGAGAGTGGGTAGGGGTGGGGTCCTAAATTTACTTAAATTTGTCAATAAGTTTTGCATTTAAGGACATGAAAACAGCGATACAAACCGTTCTACAAAGTACAAAATAAATATTAAAATAAAAAATGTTTGACGGCCTCAATTTTCGGCTATCGTAAATAGGTCACTCTATCGGGAGACAACAAAGCGTCTCGCATCTCCATTGTTCCCAGACTGCTTTGCGTGACTAGCACAAATACCAAGGTACTGCAAAACCCGACAAGGTGTATCCAAACTAATAAAAATCGATGTTTTACCTTCTCCGTGGGTGAAATACTTCAATAAAATGATAAAATTGCGTTGACATACAGTCTTCGTTCCGCCACAGCGGGTGGGAAATCAATGAAATCAACCCGGAAGTTGGATGTAAGGTGCAATGACTTATCTACGGAAGTACGTCGCGGTATCCAGACTTCACTGCATTCGCCCTTATTGCCCACTTGCGTTTTCAATTATCTTTCTTAATTGTGTTTTCTTGTTCGTAACTAATTATAATATTATTGATCTGTGGGTCAAAAATGACTCGTATCTATCGTAGAATCGTTTTGTGCTATAAGGTGTGATCTCTGATTCACATTATTAGGGAAATATTTTTTAAAGAAAGAACGACGATAACAATTCACTATTCAGATTTTTAGTTGAGTACCGATAGTGGCGATACTGATAGTGACAGATAGTTGAAGCTGAGTGGCCATGATAAGTGGGTGCTGTTCCTTACTTTCCAGTCAATATTATTCTTATTGTAAATGCACTTCATGAATTTTGGTAGGCCTAATTTAGAGACGTGGTGGCAAGGGTTTCAGTTATCCCCCCCCC